AATTTTGAAGGGCTGAAAGTGATGGGGAAAAAAGGATATTTCAACTGATAGTTGCATTATGAGGTTGGAGAAATTTTCAATGGTGGTCAGCTCTATGGATATTCTTTAATAAAAAATTTTTAGGTATTGTTTACAATGAGTATTTGTTAAGTGCAATAACTGAACCACAAAAGTCAGAAATATACCATTAAAAAGTATTACATTATAAATGGGTGCTTAGTTATGTATTTTGTCATAAAAACTTTAACTCTTAGATCAAGATTTAAAGATTTGTCAGTTCTTTTAAGACTCTTGAAATCAGTAAGTAAAAAAAATTCACCAATTTGTTGGAAAGAATTTTATTTTCAATTGCTACAACATACTTGTTTTAAATATTAACTTACGGTATAGATATGGATGAAGATTTTTTTGAAACTACTTGTTATCGAAGTCTTATTTTTCTAGTCACTTAATATAGTGTCGCAATCGTAAGAAACACAAGATCTCTGAGTAAAAGCGTTACTTCCTCAGCCGTTGGAGAGAAATATTTAACGCTTGCCGCACTTGACAATTAAAAACGCAAATTTTTTGCCATTGTCTTAATTTAAATAAATTAAATTTTATGACACTTGCTGTTGCAAGTGCAGTTGCAGCTTTAATTGGCTTCATGTTGGCCGACACGAGATGAGAACGATCCCCTCGCCCGCCAAAAATAAGTAATCAAGTAGGGTTTTGTGAGAGAATTCCATGATCGGAATCGGTTGACAGGCTAAACACCCAGCAAAGGCGATTTGCATGGCTCCCGCGGTACAAGAAAATACAATTAACATCGGGTTTAATGTGCATTTAATGAGAAATAAAAATGCTGTCCGTTCGGATTGCGTGCGAGCTCTCTTTCTGCGCACTTCATCATTGCAAGATTGTAGATCGAGATTTCAGCCTGATTTTATGTCTTTGCATGGCCGGTGTCTATATCTAATGTACGCGATTCCGAGCAAATGATATTTACTAATTAGTTATATGTATTATGTATTATAATTTTCCACCCAGCCACTGAACATGGCCAAACGTTCCTTTCTTTGTGTATTGTGTCTCTGTTGGTTATCGCAATCATAAAATGATGATGTTTTCCATCAACGCGATTCGCTGAGCACCAGGGGATTGGCTTTTACATTGTTATTTAATAAGAATTTGATTGTTCCTGGCATAATGCACCGACTCGATTTGTAGCAGGACAGTGGTAACAAATATTGGCATTCGGAACTTTAGATTTGCGATTTTTGCAAGCTATTTGAATGATTGTAACGGGTTTCAATATATTGCATATTTACCGATCACATTTAAACAGGCCAGTAAGTAAAATAAATATATTTTTGTTAGATTACAGAAAAATAGTGAAGTATGTTAGGTTATTTGACGTTTTCTAGCGAACGCGATTTATTCACCTCTCGACCCACTGTTCATTTATGAAGAATTACCTCAAAGAGGCATGAAAAACCAGCTGCATTATATTTCTGCAACCTGTAATGAAGTAGGTGTTGTGGCTATACAGTCCTCTTTTCCCCAAGCCGATATAAGCATACCCAACCAAGAGAGTCGAAAGGGGGGGAGGGGATCCCCGTTTCGTTACCGGATCCCGGTTCCCCGGGCAATCACAGGCTGGGCATCAGAGACATTCTATGGCCACAAGCTTTAATGAGTCTCGAGCCGTAAATTAAATTCAAAAATAATATGGACCGCGATGGGTTGCATATCCCTCCCCCGGCCCGCCCACTTGACCGCCCACTCCGCCCCGGTGCAGTTGCATGATCGCATGCAAAGTGCCGGGAAGTTAACCATTTGCCCCGAAAGGGAAGGAAGGGGACGGCGCCACTTTTGCGCATCGCAACCCACAGACACTTCGTTATAAAACAATTTAATTTGCAAAGGAACAAACAAAGAAAATACATAAAAAAAAAAATACCGCACAAACTGAAGTCGTATTGCGCATAAAGGCGAGCAAAATATTTACAAAACTAATTTTTAATTAATGACCAGCAGGAACGGGAAGTGGTTAGCTTGCATGCCCGACCTTTTCATATAACTTACAAATTGGCTCCCTTTTGCATTGGCCGAATGCTAATTAGGCTTCTTTGTTTCATTTTTTATTTGTCGAAGGCAAATTAAAGTTGCACAATTTGCTTTTGCAGCACACCTGCTCGCGGTTATCGAGCTCCGAGTTTTGGCATTCGATTGCTCTGCACTTGCATTCATTAGGTACACGCAAATGGTATAATTCCAAGTTCTTTTGTATGATTTTGAGGTCAGTATTGGTGGGCTATTGGGTTAGCTATTGATTGGGCTGGGGTGGGATGTAAGTGGTAATATGACTCAAATTTTCAGTTTACTGAAGCTGAACGGAAGGGATTTTGGTTTCTATGCGCTCAGCAAATATACTTGCATGATTTTTTAAAGCGTTTTTTTTTTGAATCAAGCAACACTTATTTTGTTTCGAATATTCCAAATTTTTATTGGAATCGATAAATTGTTCTTTGCCATTTACGTTTTAAAGATTACTTCATGTAAATGTTGTTTGCGGCTTCGTTTAGGAGCTTCGGACTACTTTCTGCATAAATCGAACCCTGAATGAATCATATTAGTTTGTAATTGTTTTCTCGTCTAGTGGCATTCCCCACATACCTCCCTCAATTGCTAGTATTGGATCGAAGGCCTCTTTGGAAAAAACAGGGTGTATCTATTATATGCAGCAATGAAATAAAATGTCTAACTAAAAGTATGTGGCAGAGGCAAGTTCCACAATGCATATTCATGGCTCCGTGCCTCGCCGGCCTCCTCCTTTTCCCACTTTCCGGGCTGGAAATGCCAACTGTGTGCTGAACTGATAAATTAAGCAATTCCAACTAAAATGCAATGCATTGTAAATTTTTCTCTTTATTTTTTTGTAGTCGCAGCTCGCGACTAGAAAGTTGGATGAAATTTATGCCTCATTCAGGTTAGTTTTGATGTCTTTGATGCGACTGCACGACAAGAAGACAGTACCGCAAGAAGGGAAGCAGGTGTTAAGCTCGCCATATCGGTGATTTAAATGGAGTAAAAGCGACCCATAGCCTTAAAGCTATAATTCCGCACCATCTTGAGTCGGTAATTAAATGTGCTTTAATTTGTATAATTCAGTTGATTTAAGCATGTAGAACTTTGGCCCCAGACTTACCAGTCTTAGGTTCCGAATGAATATTCACAATTTCGCTCAGTTTGCGGTTAGAAAGTTTCCTGGGAAATGCCGATTGGGGGTCTCGAAGTCACACTCAGTTCTAGACGCCCCCGAGGGCCAAAAAGATTTATCGCAATCCATCTACAATGTTAGCTGTACGCGCTAATAGGGTTTACGAGCTCCAATTTTCTTATATGCAAATGTACCCCTACTGCATCAGTTTCTTTTGGAAGGAAATGGCTGGGCTAAGCCGCTGAATTCCTGTGAAATAGTCGTCGCTTGCCTCGTAATTATCAGCAATTTTCCATGAATTTATTAAAATTAAGGGCAGGGCAGACAAAAGCCGGGCTTAAGTGCCCAGGGCTAACATCTCGTACACAGCCCCATCCCACCCCGTTCAAGGCCCAACACCAAAGCCCAACGCGCTACCCATTCCGTTTGATTCCATCTGACTACAAACAAACAGACCATAAATAGTATAAATTTCCACATGACACGCGATGATTATGCGCTTTCCATGCAAACAAGTGTCTGCGGAAGAGCGGCGGTACGAATTTACCAGGGAGGTCGATGGGAGGGCATCTGCATCTGCTTTCGACATCATTTGCGTATATGTCGAGCTTCTGCCCTGCTAATGAGTACAGTCGTTCCTAGTATATAAAGACCGTACTTCTAACAGATCGAACATGTACATGAAATATCCCCTTGCTGTTAAATAAATCAATTTTTCCACAATCACAAGTTTAAAAACATATATATTCTATCACAAATTTACTAGTTTTCTTTTTATATCTTGACTATTTAAAAGTCAGTAAAATCATTTCTTAATATATTTAACATTGGTTTTGGCACTTTACCATTAAATGTCCAGTAGGTTTAAAAAAAAACGTTATTTAGACCCGTATTTTTAAAGTAAGTCCTATCTTCAGGATTAGTTACATTCAAAAAGGAGTGGTAAGAAAAACGTAGGCAATAATTTAATTAGTTTTTGTTTATATTTTCATCATATTCATATTTTAAAATGGATTTTATTATTTGCAAATTTAATTTAAATTTAAACCACATGTAACTTAAATGAAATGCATTTAAATCAAACAGGAAGTATATTAATTTAATTTAAATATTTCATATAAAATGTTAAATTAAATTGTCCGATATTTATTTTTACTGATCCATTTTTTTTATCAGTGTAACCTTTTTTAGTTAGCGAATACCCCCTGTGCTTTCGCCTTGCCAACTCACAGAGATAGTAAACAATTTTTAATTGCTCAAAGCTGGAGCGACAATGACAGCAAACGTCGTTCCTCCGCCTTCACCAAATCGCAGTGGATTCATTTTGTTGTGTCGGCTTGCCATTGATAGTGTTAGTGTTAGTGTGGGTACTTGAAGTGACCCGGGTTCGCCCCCCTAAAACATTGTGGAACCTCGTTTCATGGTTTCATGTGGCTCATCTGCATGCTGATATCTTGGTCATGAGATCGAATCGGTCCAGTTGCCGTACTGCGGGTGTCTGGTTCTTATTAGCTCTGCACGCGCTTCCCTCTCGCTTGAATTCCATGAATTAATTTCCGTTTTGCATGTTGTTATTTATTAAAATTTCAGATCTCCTTTTGCTCAGACGTTTGCGATTCTTCGTGATGCCCTTTCATATGCGCCGCTGAGCTAATTTCAGAAACAAATTCCTTTCCTTGTGATTGATATCTTTAAGATATATTCTGTATGTGCACGCCAAAGCAAAATAAATGCTGAAAATTTACAAAAAGGCTGTGTTCCCAAATAAAACGTTTTCAAAATTATTTTATATGATAATAATTTTTATTTCATTGTTTTGTGTGAGTTTTGGTTCCTCTTTTTGTAGTTATACATTTAAAAATTCTAGTGTTGTTTTTCACGTTTTACAATTGTAAAAGGTTTTGTGTTCCTTTTTCATAAATTCAATTGGTTTTTACACATAAATACGATGGACTTAAGTTACAATTAATGCTTTGTTTTATTTTTGTTAGTTTACTTGCCCATAACATACACAGTATATCTAATTAATGTTTATATTGTTTTTCTTTGTGTTCTTTTTCTTTTAATTAAAATTAAAATCTTTCAAATTGATTATCACAGTATTCACGCGAAAAATAAATATGCTTAGAAAGTAATCTACTTGTTGTATATGTGGAAAGTGTTTTTAGCTTTAGGAATTATGTTGACTTTGAAAATTGTGGATAGACTGTACTTAAATATTAGTAATACACAAACGCCACATAAAACCATAAAGAAATCGAATCATTTGCTTGTGAAAGCAAACAATACCATTTCCCTATGACCTGCAAAATGTTGGTGGTTAAGTGAACATAGGTAACCAATTGTTAACCAGTCTACTTGAACAGCAATATTTTGGATTGATTGTAATAATTCAGTTACATTAAAATAAATACCATTAATAGTTAACATAAGCCAACCCCATTTTGTGTTGGAGTTGATACCTGTCCGTAGTACAGAATTATGCTAGTATTTGATGTGTTTGCGACTTTGAACCTGCAAGATAGAAAGCAAAGGACAAGATAACGTTAGTAAAAGGTTTACTTATATTTTATAAAATAATAGATTAATAAGACTAACAAAGAAAACCCCAGCTATTTAATTGTATTGCAACTAAAATAATTATGAAATATTAGCTTTAACAGTTAAGCCACATCTTGAAATTAATATAGTCATAAGAATTAAATTGGGCTTCGTTGTAAAATAAAAAAACCCTTTACGCCTACCTTTCCAATTAGCTATCCTAACTGCTTGTAAATATATATGAACAAAAAATAGTTCCTAATATAAAGTTTTAAGTATTTTTAAAGAGAAATACACACCTGCTCATAGTGTTGCTAAGCTTCCTTTGATTTCTCCGGCACATTGCACTGTCTTTGTCCCTAAAAGTGACCCCGCTAGAGCCCTTAGTGCATCATGTAGGACGACTCGTCGTCGTCGACCCCCGTGGGACTGTCCAGGGAGGGATTGATGCGCTTCTCCTTCTGCCGCCGGTTGCAGAACCACACGCGCACCACCTCCTTCTCCATGCCGAGGCGGTCGGCCAGCTGGGTGATCTCCTCGGAGGTGGGCTTCTGGTTGGCCAGGAAGGCCTTCTCCAGGGCCCCGCGGATGGTGGTCTCGATGGAGGTGCGCTTCTTGCGACGCCGTCCAATGATCTCCGGCGTGCTCACGGTGGCCTGCAGGGCTGCCGGATCGAAGACGCCTCCGGTGGCCTGGATGGTGCGGTCGGCGTCATCCAGCCACTTCTGGAGCAGCGGCTTCAGCTTGCACATGTTCTTGAAGCTCAAATTGAGGGCCTCGAACCGTGAGATGGTGGTCTGCGAGAAGTCGTTGCCATAGAGCTTGCCCATGGCCAGACCCACGTCGCCCTGGGTGAAGCCCAGCTTGATTCTCCGCTGCTTGAAGGTCTTGGCAAACTGCTCCAGTTCCTCCAGATCGGTGGTCTCCTCCGGCGAGGGTTCACCCGCCGCCCGGGCAGCCGCAGCACTGGCCACCGTCTTGGGCTGTGGGGTGGTGGTGCCCTGGCTCATCTGGGTGCCGCTGGTGGGTGTGCTGGGGGTCAGCATGCCACTCAGCTTCAGGCTGGCCGCCGAGTTGGGTGGCGTGATCTGCAGCGGGTGGTGGTGGTGGTGCTGGTGCTGATGTTGGTGGTGCAGCTGGTGGGGCGAACTGGCCGGACTGCGAATCGCAATGGGACTCCGCACCGCCGAGTGTGGCGTGGAGCTGCGCGGCTGCTGCTGCATCTTGTGGTTCAGCTGCAGTGGCTCTTCCTGCTGCCTCTGCTGCTGCTGCTGCTTCTGCAGAGCCTGCAGTTGCTGGGTGGCCTGGCTTAAGGCCTGCAGTTGGCTCTGCATTAGGAACTGAGCGGCTGCCACCTGGGCGGTCAGTGCCGGGTCGTCCTGTGCCAGTCCCAGCGAGCCACTCCTCAGCAGCTCCATGTAGCTGTTGAACTGTTGCGTCAAGGCCACCTGACGCTGCTGCAGCAACTGTTGGAACTGGGCATAGTCCTGTGGCGACAGCGAGCCACTCAGCAGAGGATTGTTCATGCCCAGGCCGGCTGCGGCAAGTTGGGCCTGCGCCTGTGCCTGGGCCTGGGCCTGTGCCTGTGGCGAGGATAAGCCCGGAATGGCCAGCAGGGGCGAGATGCCGGAGGCCATGGCGGCGGCTGCTGCAGCCGCTGCTGCCATCGAAGGGGGCGTGGTCGGTCCGCCCGAGGACGCCAGGACAGGAGAAATCATGGGCGCCACTGGCGAGGGCACCGAAATCACCGGCACCGGCGAGACTATCGCCGATTTCACCGAATTCGCTGGCGATTGGGTGCTGTGACGGCTATTATCGCTGGTTAAATTCAAGGCCCCACCATTGGCGTCCTCATAGTCCTCCTCCTGCTTGAACTGATGGTGATTCAGGTGGTTCAGGTGGTGCGGATTGTGGTGGTGGTGAGCCGGATGGGGCTGCAGCGACAGCAGCTGGCGCTTGGCCTGCTGGTGGGTCAAGGACAGAGCAGGACTCAATGGAGATCGACAGCGATCGCTTGAAGTGCCCGCACTCGAATTGTTGTCATCGCAATCGGAAGCTGTAAAATAGAGACAAATTTATGGGTTAGGCAAGTTAAATAAAGGAGTATTTTCCTTGGCAAAAAAATCTATCCAAAATACGGTTTCTAAATCACAAAAAAAAATGTGTTTAAAATAAACCCACAACTCTTTTTCAATATAGCTAAGAAAAAGGCGTAACCAACTGGTCAAATCCCATGGAAAAATGTATTTTCCCATCTACCGAAGCAATGCAAAAATGAGTCACATTGTGGGGACCTCAAGCCCCCGACCATTCGGTTACCATTCGAATGTCCTTTTGCATAAGTTTAGCATAGGTCACACGAGCGTTTTGTATAATTTTCGTTCAATTTCATAGTCCGTTGGTTTTCGGTTTCGAGTGAAAGCCTTTCACGTGACCACCCACCGCAGTGGGTTTGATTATGCGAAAATGTCTTCAGCTCTTTTCACCCCCTTCGAGCTGGGTCCATAGTTTACATAGTTCCACCTTGACATCAAATGGAATTCTCATGTTTTCTTTTCATTTTGGCTGACGCTTTTAGCTGCTTTTAAGTGGCATTTTAGCATTTCAAATGCCTGGCCAAGCGATTTGTATAAATTTGCTATTTGTATGCATTTTATTTATACAACAGGGTGGCGGGTGCTCGATAGGGTTGGGCTGAGCAGGCCAATTGATTTGCAATAATATTTAAATACAAGACGAGTTCATTTTTGAGCTAAGACTGCAAACTAGAATCGCAGACTTCCTCCCCTCATAAATGGCAATCAAAGAAGTTAAACCTAAACCCTTTGAAGTGGACCCTGGTCTGGGACCCCAAAACTCACATTCTCATACTCCCATTTCCATTCCCATTCAGATTCCCAGTCCCAATCCCATTCCCCCAACCAATTTCCACATCCTGTCCACTGCAGGCTATTTTTGCATATGTTTGCCTGGGCTACTTTATGACTTGTGCTCGCCTCCTGATGCCCCGTTTCCCGATGGTTGGATGCTACGTGAATTTGATGACTTATTCGCCCAAGTGGGCGACCCATCGACCACATGGTCATCCTTTTTACATATGCGACCGAAGCCGGGCCAGGAACGATTTTTTCTCTCCTCCTTGGACGGGCTACGTGCGTCCATTTGGTATTCAGATGATGTGCAAATTCGATTTGTATGTGTTGTGTGAATGGCTATCGACATTGGCGGAGATGTGCTGGCTTTTAAAGGGGTTTTTGGGGAATCTAAGGTAAATTCAATTGGGTTGAATTGGGTACTTATTATGTATAGAGTACATATTTTTCATACATATTTATAAGCTGATGGTAAGCTCATTTAATAGAACACATCAAAAAGGGTTAAGAAAGGAGTTAGAAAAAATTATTGTTAGACTTCAAGGAAAAAAATATATATAACTTAATATATTATGTAGTTTTTAACACATAGTCCTAAAATTCGACGACTTAGGTCGTCAATTATTTTTGTAAGTATAGAAGAAAACTAGTCACACAAGTGTTAAGTCGAATTTAAATACAGAGCCCAAGACACCAAACAAGTTGTTATATGAAAAACCCCTTCAGAACGCGCTCCTGTTCCATTTAGCACAACCAATAAAAAAAAAGCCAAATGGTCAGTTTGACTGCACATCGAGCTACCCCAAAAGCGCTCCCACATACGGCCGGCATAACGGAATAATTTTTGCATAAAATATATGTAAATATATATGTTCATGTTCGTGAAAGAAATCACAGCAACTGTGTCCAGTCCCACACACACACACACACGACCAGACAGCCTCCCGCACACATACATATTCGAATTCAAATCAAGCGAAATGCTGTCAATAATGTGGTAAAAAAAAATATATATAAAAAGGGAGTCAGAAAAGGTTGAAGTTGGTTTTTGTTCGGACCGTGACTAACGAAGTCCATGAAATTTGAAAAGTGTGAATTGCAAATTGAACGCAGCAGCCTCCTCGAGGAACGAGTTATGAATAATAATCGAAAGTTGTATGAATCTATCAAAAATTTATAATGCACCCAAAGACGGCGATCCACAATGGTATTCCTCGGAACAATTAGGGCGGGAATTGACAGACCCAATTGTCACCTCAGAAACTACTTAAGAAGCTGTTAAGTCGAAACACCCATTTAATGAGACATCAAAATCAACTTAAAGACGCCTTCCCCCTCTCACTGAAATCACAGCCGAAAGGGCTGTGACAAAAGTTTTGACAGGCCATTGTGTGTGTGGGGGACCCTCCCTATTAAAACACACACATCAACCCTAGCAATAACCCGGATATATACCCTATATACGAGGGCCTAGCGCGTGGCTGTCGCAGGCAAAGGCAAGGGTTGATATTCCCTCCGGTTTATTGTCTTTTTGTCGAACCGAAAACATGCGAGTGATTTAGTGAAACCGAGATGCCTGATGCCTGATGCCTGAAGCCGCTGCCCCAAGCAGATGTTCCAGACCAGCAATATGTATACATATATATCCATATGAAGTGGACAAATCTCGTAAATCGTTTTCGGACAACAGCTGATGCTCTAAAATGGGGAAAAGAGAAAAACACACTTACCATTCGATTGCAGTGGCGACGGCGAACGCGACAGACGACTGATATCTGGAAAAAAAGGGAAAATAAGAATTTTAGACTGGCTAAATTGAGAGCACTTAAAGCTAAGAGTAAAATAACACACGTCGCGGGCATAAAACGGAAGAGGCAAATACAAATTTTTCGAGAAGCAAACGCTCAAGTTTACGATACACAAAATCGATATCGATATACATTCAAAGCCAGGACTGACCAAATGACCAGTCCAGTCCAGACATCTATACCGTTGCCTATAAAAGGATATTTTTATGGACCTCGTCGAGGGGCAGTCGAGAGCTGAAATGGAGTTCAAGGAACACCTGGTCCGTGCACGATTTGAATTTTGGAGTTCGGAGCAGACAGCATTTGTGCTGGCTGCATTTTATGTCTGGAGAAATTGAATTTTGTTTGGTCTCGCTGGCTAATTTACGAGTGCAGTGTGGTGACCTCTCTAAAATGCATTAGAAATCGAGTGCGCTTCTTTTTGGGTTTTGTATTACGGTTGAGGTTTAGGAACGGGTTTCTATTAGCTAATTAAATTGTAGTTTGTGTTCTAATTCGTTCGATGAAAATATAAGGCATAAGACTTTATTTATTTTAAGATTAATCGGATTATTCTTAAAATTACATGTTCTTTTTTATCTCATTATTTTTGATAATTAATTCTGTTTTTTTGTTTTATAAACTTATTTGGCTTCCTTTTCCATATAAAATTGATTTCCTTAGCTATGAATACCTTCTGATACTTTCGAATATCAATTTTTTTAGCCTCAGATCTCCCATAAATTTCATGAGTACCTTTTGATTTCGCTACCTAAGATCCTTTACTCAATGAATTCGTTTATTTGGAATGGATTTCTTGCTTGGGCTTGCTTCCACAATCTTTTCTCACTTCTGGCACACTTATGTCGCCCCATTTGGCCACGCCTTTGGCCGCTAATTAAGCGGCACAACTGCTGCCAGTTGAAGTGGTGCGGCATATGTGCGGATCTAAAATATATACATCGGCTGGAGTTGGGTTAGGTAGATAAACATTTTACAAAAACCCGGCGTTAAAATGCCACATAAATTATGTAACTTGGAGGTGGGGAGCCCGGGAAATTCAACACCCTCGCGCGTGTCCAGCACGAGTGAAATGAGCAGTATTTGAATCGTTTTGAGAATTTTACAGTTTTTGGCAGAGAATTTGGCGAAAACCACAGGCCAACCCCAAAAGGCGACTGGGAAATAAATAAAATTTTTGAGAATCGCCCAGCGGGGGTGGCGGTTTCTGATGGCCGAGGGGGAAGTCGGATACATTGGGCTGTGTGGCGCACACAATTAGTCAATGACCTCGACAGTTGGCTGGCTGGGGGTGGCTGGGGGTGACTAACACAAACACACAGGCAGACCAATCCACCAACCAACCGACCATCCGACCATATATGCTATATGTTCATCACGTGCGCAGACTGAGACTGACTATCGATTGAGTCGTCGTCGTCGGCGGCGGCGGAAGCTGCGTGTCTTGAACTCTTGACCCCTCCATTTGGGCATGGGAGTGCGAGAGCTGCTGGGAACCCCCGAAAAGTAGCCGAAAAATAACATAAATAAATAAAATAAAATATAATAGAGTGAAGGGAAAGCAAACATGATGTGCGTGCTCCTTCGGCCTTTGTCTCTGCCTGTATATTCGTAGCAAAACAAAACTAGCAAAATCGCCAAAAGAGAGAGAAAGCTTCAAATGCGGCGAAATGAAAGCTTGATTAAGGATTTCGAGAGAGTACGAAAACAATTAAGGAGAGTATTATTTTAGGCTCAGGAGCTGAGAGAAAGTACAGTGATAAAGGATGTCTTCAGAATCGTTATCTTAAAGATACCTCAACAATTGCTATGAACATTTGTCATTTATCTTGCAGGGTCATTCTGCTTTATAACTAACAAATAAAGAATGTGCATACCCAATGCTAGCAATTGTAGGCTTAGAGTACTAAGACAATTGCTAATTAAATATTCAACTAGCAGTATTAATCCTTTACTAAACAACTCAACTTGTCTTTAGGTCTTAACTTGTTTTTGAACCACTTTTTAAGCCTTGTTGACTTTTCGATTATCACTGCAGGCTGATTACCAAACAATATTGTCTCCATTTTCTATCGATTTCCGCTTTGCAATTGTAAATCTTAATCGACTATTCATTTATTTCCTTTTGGTTCCAAGAAATACCCATAAAAAGTTGAGCCAACGGACACACGCCCTCTTTCTTGATCGGTTTTTATAGCGGCGATAGGTGATAAGACCATATAGTGGAATAAAAAACCATGAGCTCATGGACAGTGACTAAAAATAATGTTATTATTCAAGTTGGACATTGTCGTCAATTGCCGCGACTGTAATCGGCCAAATATATTAATTTAAAACTGATTGGCGAACGAGTATTTTCCATGAGCTTCGCTTCGATTAATTTATTAAAATCATCAATATATGACGAAACTTGTTTACTCTTACAGGTTCTTGGAATCTTTTAGTATTGTGCAGGTGTTTGGGTGATAAGCGGCCGCGATAAGCAAATCGAATTGTACAAGGTAAACTCTTATATGAATACCATGAGACATATATTAGCTATCGTTAGTTCTTAGATTAGAGGAGCCATTTGCGACACGTGCTCGAAACGAGGCACATAAGTACTCCCGCACGTAGAAGTGCTGATTTGTATATATAAAGTAAAAAGTCCCCATTGTTATCCTCTAACGTCTATCTCATTTGAATGTCCCATTGTCACCTGCTTATCTGGCAACCCGTTTAGGCCAGTTAACTATCAAATTACTCACTTTCCATTCGTCAAATTTTACATATTCAATCATAGCCCATTCCAAAGTAACCGTCTTAAGTCCGTACCACTTGGTACACCTCAAGTATGGCTCATCGGAATTATTACGCATATTCCATATCCCACACTCAATGATTTTTTACAGTATTTGTCATCGAAATGCGCTTTTTTATTGGCCCGCATTTGCTGCGCTTCGAAGACGATAATTGATAAGGTAACAAATTAAAAGTATTGTTTACAACGGCCAAGCGGTTCCATTGAGTGCCCATCGCCACCAGTCGCAGTACCCCTTACCGTACCTATTTACATGGTCACATTTGTGGGCTAGTTGTGCAAGAAATGCGTCTTTAATAAATATTTTTTATGGTCCGGCATTTGTAATACTCATATGTTAGTTTATAGTTCCCGCCCGGCACCGCATGGGTTTTGAGACCCGACTTTAAGTGGGTCGGTGGGAGTTAATATTTATGGCAGAGACACCTGTGCCGGTGTTTATTTTCAATAAGCAGATTGCAGGTTTCTTTGTTCTAGGTGTTGGGCATTGAGTCTTGGGCTTTTAGTTTGTTCAGAGCACCTGACACAGTGATGGTAATTTTCACGAGGTCTGGCTTAGTAAAAAAATTGAAATTCGGCACAAGCGGTTGGGGAAATCGGAATTTGGTGGATATTAGTGGGTGTTTCATTGGAACATTTTTATAAGTTCCCATTAGAAAAGTTCTTATTGGGGATATTTTAGATTTATCGAAATAAAAACTTCCAAAAACTAATAATTTGACTACACTTGTTTTAGATATAATGCATTGCTGAAGCTTTATAAATAGTAATTGGTGAAAAATATATATACATTTTGATGATTCAAGGATCTTAAGATTTAAAGCTTATTCACACCAATTTGATAACTATATATTTAGAATGAAAAGGTATACAAAAGAATTGAAAGTTCAAAAATAAATAGGACTGCAAAACATAATCTTAGTCCTTTTGCTTAAAGATTGTTTATTAAACATTAAAAGAAGCTTTTTAGCGAGAAACTATTTTGTTTTAGCGCAAATATAAAAAGAATGTGCGAATAAAAGAAACAATAATTTTAAAATCTGTAAGAAAGCGTACCGAAAAATATTATTTACCGAAAACAAAAGTTTACATAAGCTTACTCAAAAAACTCAAATAAATACGAAATATATAGGCGCCATTGACGGTTGTTTACATATTTTAAAATGCTTAATAGTACAAGTTTAAGGCCCGTTTGTGATGTTTTGCGGTGTCAACAATTAATTAACTTAACATTAACTTACATCGATTCTGCATAATGTGAACGGCGGCCTCGCGGGCGCTGGTCGGTGTGGATTTGAGCAAATCGCGCTTCAAGGAATTGCTATTATCCTCGGGACTTGCGGTGTGCCAACGTAGCTCCGACATAACCATTTTCACAACTCAATAGTGCAATGCAAATGTTTATATGCGATATGTTCAATGTTTTAAGCACTGTATATTCACTTAAGCACTGGGTTCTGTTCTGTTCTGATTGTTTCTTATTTGGTGTTTGGTATCTGTTATTTATATATTTTGTGTGTTTGTTTGGAAGCGCCGCTTTCGTGTGGACGCGTTCGTGTCTCGTGTGAAACTGACAACAGAGAAGCGGACGCAGCGGTCAGGACACCTCTGCCAACTAACGGATAATCGTTCTAGGCCTGAATGTTTGGGATTGTATGATGATGATAGTGTCTGCTCTCTCTTTCTCGCTCGCTGGCCGCTCTCTCTCTCTCTCGCTCTCTCTCTCCCTTTCCCTTTGCCGGCGTTTGGGATTTTGAGTTCAAAACTGGTGTGTTTGTTGCACCCCTAAAAAAGCGTTAAGGGTTGATTTGGCCTTTTTTTTAACACACACACAGACACGAATGGGGGTAAAAAACCGACTGGGGAAATGGTGGCGTATACTTGATAAAAAACGCGATTCAGACGCTCTTGCGATGCGCTCCACACGTTTAACTGGTTCCACTTTTGCGCGTCGACTGCAGTCTAGTTGGAACTTGAGACAAAAGGCAGAATCGAAGGCAGAAGAGCGAGAGAGCGTCGTGGAGCTTTGGGGCACGCTCTCTTTCTCCCTCTCTAGCGTTAGAAATGCGTTCCACACACCCACAGTCCAATTGGAGTAGAAAGGAGAAGTTCTTACGCTCTCTCGCTCTCGTTTTGAGTGATTTGGCAGAGTGTGCGAGTGAATTGTAAACTAACACACACATTTTATGCGCTTTAAAATGTAGTGTGCGAGTGTATGAGTCGGGGGCTCCATCGTTTGTGGTTCGTTCACTTTGCTCGTGGGCTCCATTGTTGTGTGCCTGTGTGTGTGAGATGCGTGCGCTTGTTTGGGGTGTGGCTTAAAATTTAAATTCGGCTTTCAAATGGCAATGGATTTTTTATACGGCCGCGCTCTTTGGGGCTGTATGTGTGTATGCATATTATTTTATGATTGGCGAGTCAAAAATGCTGTGTGTGTGGCTGGTCTATGTAAAAATATTTTAAAGCTGCGTCGACGTCGACTGCAGCAGAGCCCCCTCCCTCCATTCTCTAAAACCTCATTTTATATTTTCAGCATTGTCGTCTTCTGATTTCGCTCTTTGTTCTGGCTCCCGTTTCCTCTCAGCCTTTGCAATTTTATTTGCCATTCATGTATGCACACATGTGCGGAGTGCGCCCCTACCCAAAAAAAAAACAACACACCCACCCAATTCTCCTCCAAAAATCGGCTTCTCCTTTTTTGAGCTTTCCCACCCACTTGGCAGTATTTTCTTTCGTTTTGCTTTTGTTCCTCGGTCCTCGTAGATTTTTTTTCTTTTATGATTTGTTTTGGTTCTCTGCTTATTTTTACTTCGATAAGAACAGACATTTATGGTGACAAATATTGGCAGCATTGGAAAAAATTCAAACAATGTTAAACTATAAAATCTTTGCCTCTATCGACCTGTTTTAAAATAAACATTTTTAGTAAATACATAAATTAAATATCATTGTTTTTAAAATACAAGAATTTATTCATTGAATAAACCCACCCCAACTAAAACAAGTTAATACAAATTCATTAAACAAAAAAAATACATATCTAAATGTTAAAGTAAATAAATATTAAGAAATAAGTAATGCCTTGTACTTTTTAAACAAAAACTTCAATGCCTTTCAAAAACTCCTGTGGCCAACAAAATCCTGTACAGAGTTCAACTTCCATGAATATTTTTATGCATACTGAAAAACCAATGTTTTTTATATTCTCAGGAACTGGAAGACAAACAAATTATAATGAAAAAGTCAAATTTCCAAGGCGAGAGAACCATATAAAAAACTAGCCCGACTACCTGACCGACCACTGCACAATGTACACATTTATTTTTTATACGCACATCCCTTTGTTATAGAAAAAAATCATAAAAAATTGTTACAAAGTCATAAAAAGTTAAAAATTACAAACAGGTAAGAAGCGAATATGAGCTGGAGAGGGAGGACAGCCCTGAGGAATCAGTAACTGGGTCCTGACAAGCGTTAAACGTTTCCATCAATGATAGACACCCAGGTTCTGTTCAGTTTTCCTTTAGTCTGGAGCATTTCGCGCTCCTAGCCATCTTTTTTACGACGCGTTTCGGCTCTGTAAAATGGCTCGATTTCCACGTAAATCATAAAATATTCGATACGTTTGTTAACACAGTGTACCGAGTCGTTCAAGTCAGTCAGAAAGTCGATTTTTGATCAGCATCCTGGGTCTACATGTTAATTAGCCCATAAGGCATTGGTCCACTTCGACTACTGGTCATCCGCTCTCTCACGTGCGCAAAGAGCTGTTAAAAAGAAGGATTTTTGGGAAGTTCTTTGTGCTGTTTGTGGTATATTAGGCGGAACACAAACTGGGAAACATTTACATAATCAAAAAGCAAAGTTTTTTTATTATTTTCGTGATTTATATTTTTGTTGTAATAAATAAATTTATTTCCCTCCAGTGTTGCAATTAAAGCACATTTGCGCTGAATATTACTATTTTCTCGAACTATGTACGTATTTATTGAGATATATATAGTAATATATTAATTTAAGTATTCCAAATTTCAGTTAATTTCATATTAAATTCCATCCTGTTCCATTAATAAGCATTTTTTTTCACATATTTTTAAATAAATATATCATAGTTGTTATTCTTAAAACAAATATTGAAATTTCAATAAGCCAGTGCAGGGTATCAAATAGTCATTTCAGTTCAGAATATTTCGCTGATGTTGACTTGCTGACCGTTTGACTTTTTTATTTGCGTGAACTCGAACTGCGTCTATATGGCCTACTGTGCGTGTCCATAAAAAATATCAAAACTATTTGTCGGCTCGCCCGCTATCCCCCTCTCTTTTCGGCATTCCCTTCCCCTTTCGCACTCACCTCACAATGCGATGCGTCCTTGCGGACCATCGTAAAAGAAAATTCGTTGCCGAGAATTACTTAAGTCAATTTAGGCAAAGTTCATAAAAAAGGCAAAAAGTCCAGAAGAGTTGAACCTGGCAGTTGGGGCAGCCGGAAAATATTAAAAAGAAAAAGGAAAGGGAATTTTCCGTAACCGTTTGGAGGGTACTTGGTAAATTGTTCGAGAAAATAATGAAAAGTGAAATGTCTAATGAAGTCGTAAAGTGTTTTGGACCAACAAACATGTTGGCATGTGTTTGTGTCTTCGTGAATCTTCCTTTTTGGGGCTTGTTCTTGTGGGTTTTTGATTTTAAATTTAAGTGCATTAAATAATAGGAAAAGGAAACTGAATTTGGAGTAAACAAAAAGTAATTGTTTTTGGACCAAGACATTTTATGGGATTAGTTTATGTGCAGAACCCACAAGATGAAGTTGAAATTTCTTTCCGAAATATATTTTAACACAAAAAAATGTAAGTCAATATAAGTAAAATGTGTTTACAAGTTACTTTTCTATGGAGTCATTATAATTATCCTCTTTAACTTAAATTATTTCTCATATTTTTATAAAAGTTTTTGCATTTATTTTTGAAAGTCATCCGCCCCTCAGCATTATACGTTTTACACCCTTTTCAGAAACTATAGAGTGGATCAGAAAACTCACCCTCAGTTCTTCGAGAGTGTGTGTGTTAATTAAATTTGTCCCTCATTATTATCAGCAGCTTAGCATCTACTAAAATCCGCTCACAATTTTGCTTGAAATTATAGGAAATTTGAACTCAAAAAACTTGGGGATGGTCCAAAGAGTCCAAAGAGGGTAGCTCTTCTGAAAATTAGGAGGAAAATGGAAAAGCTGCAGCAGCCAGGCCTTGGACAATTTATTCATGATCCTTGGCATCGCATTCCCCTATGGTTTTTTACATATCTCCGATGGCAACATCAATTCAGACTTTTCCATTGTTTTGGGTAACATGATGAAGCACCGAATCATCGATGTCGAGGATGACATTCAATGACATTCTTGGATTCTTATTTATGTTCTTACAGAAATCTCGGTCTGTTTTTTTTGGATAGAAAAGAACAGAAATCAATTGCGTTGTCTCTGCCTACCTCGGAATATTTCTTAAAAAACAAACGATAGAGCGAGGCTAAACAATTGAATGGCAAAGAACACGCTACGGTATTTTGCTGGCATTTGACACCCCAAAGTAAGGACAAGCATTGGCAGGACCCTCAGGTAGTGAGCGCCGAGGTCTGAGATATGCATATCCGAGGCGTTTACCTACCCCCAGCAGCAGCAGTTTTTTTTCCGCTTTTTTATGCAATTTTTAGCATGAAAATTTGAGTTTCCTTCTTTTGGTTCAGGGGTAGTTAGGGAACTTTCTCTGCGTTTCATTTTTTTTGGGAGTTTTATAGCGAGTTTCCTTAATTGCGTTCTTTCTTTTCCTTACTATTTCGAGTGTACCGAGATCTCAGATTGTGGTTGCTAACGGTTTTTGATTTATTTTGCGCCTTTTCCTCAAAAAACATAAATCAAGGTACTCTCTCGAGCATTTTTGGTCGAGCCTTATTTTGCGGAAGTTCCCACGAGTTTTAAGATAAAAAACGGAAATCTTTTTGCATTTCTTGAGCTGTCAGTCGGACAGAGGACAGTTGGTAAATTAGGTATTTGCTTAAGGTTATTGAAAGGTAGAAAAGGGAGGGCTATAAAATATTCAAAGATAAATGTTTTTAATGCGGGGTCCAAGATCCTTTGATTGGGAATTGAATAATTGATTGTTCCAAAAATGTTTCAGGAAAAACAGATTTCAAAAGATTTGTGAAAGTTAGATAGTTTCAATGCATTGTATTTCATTATATAATAAACATAACTTGAAAAGTTACTATGTATTTCATAGAGGAGATGTTTTGGGCAATGATAATACAACAATATTTAATGCTAATGTTAAATTAGTTAAATAAAAAGCTCAGCAAAATCTGGTATTTCATTTGCCTCCGCCTCGTGAAAGTCCTTTTAACTTGAATTTCCATCGTATCAGTTCTTTCTCTACTCACCACTTGGGTTCTGCAATTTCAGGCAATGCTCTAAATATCGCACATCCTTGCTGGCATTGTTCAAGTGGCCATAGAGAGCAACTGCTGCTCCGGTCAGTCCTAGGTCCTCTACCTCTGCCTCTGTCTCCCCCTCCTCCTCCTCATCCGCACCCTGCTCCTGCTCCTGCTCCTGCTCCTGCTCTTGCTCCTCCACTTTCAACTGCAGAGGCGACGAAGCATTGTTGTTGGCAATCTGAGCTGGATGCAGCCGTTCGGCTCCTTTATCCTTTGGCTGCTCAACATATTCATCACACGATTGCAACTTCAATTCGAGCGTTGGCTTCTTGTCCCGTGTCGCCTCGTCCTTTTCCGCCTGGGGGGAGGGGGTGGGGCAGGACACCAGGGTGGAGGAGGCGGGGGACGACGAGACGAAGGAGCTGCTCTGATTTGCGCTGACATCGCGCATATTTGTGTCAACAGCAGTCAAAGTTACATCTTTGTTATCCTCGTGGCTCGTTAGGACGGCTTCATTCGCAGCCCCGGCATGCTGTTGGCTTGGCTCGAATTTAAAGTTGCCAACTGCAAAGGAGGACATTTGAGGCTGGTTACTTTATCGCTAAGAAAAAAATGATTCTTAAGGATTTAACTTTGCTAAGCTAGCTGTGTAAGTCAGAAAGCACAACTGCTGAAAGTATTACATTTTTTGGGTCAATCTATGCCGTGTATGTAAAATCCATTTTTAAATTTACCGAATCGACTTTGATGAATGAGATAAGATACGATTACAGAAATATAATGGAATAGTGGTATAGAAGACGAGTTAAAATTTGTTATATTTTAATGTTTATTTTTAGTATTTTTCTTACTATCACTCTTTTAAAAACTGTTGAGGCTTAATACGCACAGATAACAGTTTTTAAAATTCAAACCCCATCTTAGATCATCACCAAATCATGGCAAACACCATTTTGTAGGCTTATATATTCAAATCGCAGCCAGAGAACCAATCACAGGCACAAATCGCTATCTCTTAAAGGGTTGACTTCGGCATTTACATAAGCCTCTCGTTGTGGAATCACTGCAACCCTTTTTTATGATTCACCCCGTGTCCCATTTAAATAAGCTTCCCTCTGGTGTGCCATAAAAAAGGGGTTGATTTACATAAAAAACGGTAGGACTGAGTCGTGCCTTCATTTTAATATTTTCCCTTGGGGTTGACGGCCCAATACGCACACTCCAGGAAATATGCTGATAGCGTCATATTTTCCCCGCTTTCGATGTGGAGAGGGGCAGGGGAGGTTAGCCGGAGGGGGGGCTCTTAAAAAAGCAACCAACCGGGCACATTTCATTGGCTGAAGAGCCTGCACTCGGCATGAGGCCCAAAAAAGAACGGGGAAAAATGAAAAATATTTTCATGGCAAGGCGTTGAAATGTCTCTGGGTAACTGATGCTTGAAATAGCGGCAGGACATCGCCATCATGTGTTCATTGAATCCTGTTCCTGTTGCTGGGTAAATTCAATGTTCAGGAATGCCACTAAAAAATGAGTCACATGGATGGGTTTTGAAGTGTGAAAGTTCTTGGAAGGGGGAGGAAATTAAAAGGGGAAAGCCTGAAATCTACAGGAATGTGTGATATTGTACATAAGGGAAGATAAAGTTACGAAGTAAGATTTAGATGAATCTTAAGATCGTTGAAGGCTTTAAATATTCCTTTAAAAAGTTTTTGCTTTTGAAATGTCTTTGCAGTGGAAATGTTCATTATTTTACGTTTTAGTCATTAAGGTACTAATCTTTAAATCTACAAATTAGCTGTCTTTTTTAGCTAGGCATACCACAAAGATAATCCTTCAGTTACCAACAATGTCACCTTTGTTATACCGCTTTCTTTTTGCGTTTCCAAGAATTCATAGTTTTTTATCGCAAAGTATTTAGGATCTGCGATTTTTCAGGATTTCAATTTCTCGCTTCAGCAAACAAATCTCTGCCTGTTGCGCAACCTGAATATCTTAGAAAAAGTAAACTTCTGAGGGTAGGCCGACAGGGATATAATAAGGATAACTGCAACTACAAACGAATTGCAGCGTTAAACCAAAAGACAACAAAGACGCAGAAATTATTAGATTTTTTACCGTTTGACAGGGCATTTCAATTGCACAATTACGAGGAAGTGGCAGCACCAAGAAAGGGATCCTCCTACGGTCATAAATATGTGTCAGCCAGGGTTTTTAATTAAGGAGCTATCAGAGGAGAGACCTGCCCGAGATCGATGTGCGTCCATCTCTCTTCCTCCCCCGAAAGCCAGGTGTATGCGGAATCAAAGGAGGTGTTGCTGGGGTCCATGTTCAGAAGGATTCTATACCGCAATACAGGAGCAGTCGAACCATCGTGGGAACTGCACATTGCGCAAAGGACAATACCTCGACCTCACATAACCAAGTGCAATTTGGCTTTTGTCCCATGGCAACTGCACCGCACCCGCTGCGTATCTCGGCACACAAAGTGTAACTGTAACACTGGCCAAGGAAACGCTGAAGAAGAACCCGGTGCTAGACAATAGCGAATCTGGAAAATCGGGGAATGATGATCACCGACCAGACCATTGTGATCACTTGGCTACGCACCAAAAATAAGCGAAACAAAACGGCAGTGGCAGTACAATGAACGAAGTGATTATTGTTGCGACTTTTGCTCTTTTGTGTATGCGAAACGTGAATTTATTGCTTCTTCGTTTGCGACCTTTTATACAGTATCTTAAGGTATTCTAATTTTTTTTAAGATATTTGAAACAGCGCAGTTGGAAACAAGAGTAACATTGTAGCCCATTGTAAATTGTAATTATAAGTTTTATGTTTTACTTGAAAACTAACTCAAAACATTCAAAAACCGAGTAGTTCCTTCTTTCAACTTAATTCACAGATCAAAGCAAGCGACTGTGCAATGTGTCTTTTGCTCTTAGAGTTTCACAAGATTTCTTTAATCAAATTCAGTTCTCAGCGTGATTTTTGGCAGCCAGCTTATAGCTATCGTTTATAAGCAATTGCAATTTAAATCTGAGAAAGTAGTGATTGCACCAAAATGAACCCAATTGAAATGAGCCTTGGCGAAATAATCAAGTTGAACCGAAGACTGAAAAAAGGTCAAGGAGCTCCTGGACGAGCTCGTCTCCCTGGCGGACAAGGAGTAGCTACTGGATCTTTCAGAAATCCAGGTTCAGGAAGTGGATTCAAGTCGCGCAGGGAAACTGGACGCATTCATAAGTCCAAGTACGCTTGGGCCAAAACTAGAGGCTTTCAGAAGTCCAAGTCCAAGTCCAATGGAGAAAACGGGCCCGCTCGTGTCATGGTTTCCAATTTGGACTATGGCGTTTCCGACACGGATATTAAAGAACTGTTCAAGGCCAGTGGGATGATGCGAAAAGCAAATGTGCATTTCGATAGCTTTGGCTTCTCACTGGGCACCGCCGATGTGATATTCAAGTATCGCGATGACGCCATAAGGGCCATCAGGAAGTTTCAAGGCATGCCATTGGACGGACGACCCATGAAATTACATCTGCTTATGGACGCAAACGATGTCGAGCACAATTCCTTCAAACCTCATCCTTTCAAGCCTCGTCCTTTCAAGTCTCGTCCTTTCAAGAGTGGTGCTATCAAGCCCCGAAGCCAAGATGACAGTTCTTCAAGTTATAGCAGCTTTAGACTGGACCGAGACCCATACAGGGTCCGCATGGGACAACAAAAATATAAATATATATAATAACAGAAAAATAAAAGGAGTCGGGAACTTCTGGTATCAAGAACATGTAGTCATTAATACAAACAGAAATATTTTTTTTAAGTTTTCCATAAATATTAATACATAATCAGAAGAGAACGCCACTCTCGAGATTTACGACTAACGAGATTATCTCTACTCAACAGAATTTCCAAGAAACCAAACTTGCTTTCAAGATAGCTTTCGGATGTTATAGATTTTAGGAAAAGACCTGATTTCTTTAACAAATTTGTATTTAGTTGTCGGCTTAGAATTTGGAACACTAAACAGTAAACGTATTTTAATGATGTTTTTTTATGTTTGCTTTGTCATATGATTTGTATTTCTTATTTCTTTTTTGATCCCGCCCAATTCGTGTATTAATACACTGGCAGCAATTCTTCGGAGCTTGGCGCTCATTTAAATAACGGTGCGCTCTGTTTAATGCGCTTATAGCACGCAACGTGGCTTTTTTTTTGCATACACTGAGCACAATTAGCGCTTTTAATGTGCAGTGCGTTCGTCCCTCCGTCCCCACACCCGCCCCCCCGTCCATTCGCTTGACGCCCCCGCTTCTTACACGCCTTTATACACTTCGGTGCTTGTTTGCATAAATTTCGTGCCAGGCACCTGCGCCCCTCTCTTGCCGTCTCTTTCCCTACCACACTTTGCATGTGCAGCCGCTCGAGACGCCCGCCTTGCCTCTCTTTCCCCCCAAACGGTCTTCTGCGTTTTTGCGTTTTGTAATTGCAGTTATTTGGCCCAAGTCGCGCATTATAAAAGCAAACATCAGCGGGCCGCAAAAAAATGATTTTAAGTTGCGTAAACTCATATTAAATACAGAAATTTAATTCAATTTTTATTTCGATTGCATTTAAATTTGCTGTGGCAGCTCTGCAAATTAAGTGAAAATGTGTTGCAAGTTCATAATTATAGAGGATTTATCAAATGCTGTCTGTGCAAATTATAGGCTAAGGTTGATATGTTTGATAATGTGAAATAATTAATTCATTTGTGTTCAATTGAAAAGTAATTGCTTTTAATGCGGTAAATGTTTGATATTAACAAAATATTTATGTTTATTTTAAAGATTCAGTAAAAAATATATATTTCCTTGGAAGAATTAAAGTAAGGTTTTAGATTTATGTTCCGACGTTTCTTATATAATCCGAAAATCCTACCCTTTCCCACGATTCCCAAGTACCCGCAATATTTTCGCATGTTTTAATGGGTTTTTCTCTAGCTTTACCCAGTTTTTTGCAATTTAAAATCAACTTTTCCCAAGAAAACGGTCGATTTAATGCTGGTGGTGATAAAATCCTTTTTTTCGCACCAAAAAAACACGTTACGAAATTGTGCAAAAATTGTACAAATAATTTCAAGAGGTTAAATGTCACTTAAGCGGATTCGATTTTCATTTTTTTCTCACCCTGAGATTCAGGCAATTACTTGCCGATTTTTTCAGATTTTTTTTACCAAATTTTGAGCGCACAAAATAAAGGAAGTTTTAATGGCAGCTGCTGATGACGCAATAAAGGGGTGGAAAAGGGGCTACATAAAATGTGGGCATGGCTCTAAAATATAAAAAAAAAATACAAAACTGAGTGTACAAGAGTTTTCAACCCTATTTTGCATGAACATGAATGATAAGCAAAAAAACAAAGTTTTAAAACTCCCGAGGGCCAATAAAAAATTGTTTGAAATAAAAAATTGAATGGGGTTGGAGGCTATGTATCAGAAGAGATATCATTGTGATCGTCACGACACAAAAAATCGAAAGCAGCGCGTGCTGGGCGAAGGATGCGCCTTTCGCTCGAGTCCTTAA